GTATTGGACACCTTGGACATTTTACCCCAGTCGAAGGGCGTATGGTTCGATGAACTGGACCCGGATCGCTAATAGATTACGGCCTTCACACATCCCGCTGCCTTGCGGATCATGCTTCGGCTAGCTGAAGTCTCTGGTTATGATTTTCTCAAGAGAGTTCAACTGCCCTGGCCTAGGAAACCTAGCAGCAGCAAATCATGGAGCATTTTTCATAAAGACTGTTGTACTGTGATTTGTTTGTAGACTCAGACGTGTGTGAAAAGAAAAATACACCTGATAGTTCGCAGACTGCTGGATGTGACGGTGCCATAGATTTTCAAATTGGCAAAAGCCAACCAGACTTTCCGTATATGTGCAGGAACCCCGTCCTTGATGCGTGCGACACGTGAGGTGTAGCTAGTGCCTGGATACCCTCGGGCCAAGCAGAGCTGAATCCTACCAGGCGCGTCCCTGGGTTGTGGATAGGGGGATACCTTCACCGAAGAACAGTTAGCTGTGAATAAGTTGTGGCATACCGCAACAAATATGCAGTCACGAACAAACAGCGGCGGCACTACCAGGGTGCGGTGGGTCTCAGGCTGGTCACCTGGCTCCCGTTTAAAAGCCGCATAAGCCGAATGACGGTGTCGTGACAAAGGTCGATGTGACTGGCCTTTTAAAACTAAAGCCATTGACCGCCTCACTTCAGAGGCGAGGGATTACTTCGTGCTGCCTTGCAGTTCGCACTTAGTTGTGCAAAGGTTAGAGGTGCGCTCTCAAAATAAAAAACGCCGAGTGACGCTGAGGACGTCTCTCGTACCGCACTCCCAAGGAACTTCATGATCTTGATGATGATCATGTCTGGAGCCAGTTTATCCTTTCCAAGGAGTCATCCGCAGTAAAGCAAAGTAAAGTAAGTGAGATGTAGCTGCCTAAGGCGTACAATTTGTCTACATTTTTTATTTGATCAATCAGGGGTAGTGGTAGAGCGGTGGTTTAGTCGCTGTAACCAGCGTGCTTTGGACCCTATGGTCCGAGGTTCGAGCCCCGCCACCGTCACCCGACTTTGGCGTGAGGCATCTTTACTGTCGTCCGGTTCAATACCACGCCTAACCTAGAGGGGCCTTATGTGGTTCGCCACTCCAAGTTCCGGGGCTTAGGTTGCTGGTTTCCACCACTGAACAGCAGGTTCTCGTGACTATGGGGTTCACTCCGTCTGCTGTCAACCACATTCTTGTAAAAACGTACTGCATTTCGAAGGGACAAGACGCGGAACGCGGCTGCATTCTCGCTCAAACCACCCAACAAAGCTTTCAACTGACCTGTATCTTTGCTTAACACTATACTGTCATCTGCATTTGTTTGACGTGCACAGCGACGGACTAATAGAATTGGAGTGCCTCTAACGGAACTTGTTCACAGTTATCAACTGGTAGATTTTTGGGTGCACATCGCCGTGGTCTGTGGTGTTCTGTTGTACAATTGCTAGACCTGGTCCTTCTGTACTGAGGAAGCTAATTGGATTTTTGTGTTCGGCTGCCGATGTCTTCGAAGCATTACTCATGTCTGGTGGGAAAATCGGGTGTGCCGAGGTTCACCGTTGTGTTGGGTGCGGATAGTCGTTCTCTAAGAGAAGTAATTGGTCTACACCGCCTCGAACGCTTTAGCCATATTTTACATATACCTGCCCATCCTCTTTCCTTCCGTGCTCTTTTTGTACATGCTGGGAAGAACAGGAAGAAACGTCACAGTGATTAAACTATAACGTAGTATAGCAGCTTCGTTTAGTACTACCCACCTTCCCGGTTAGGGCCCAAATAATGATTTCTGTTCGTTACAGATGTTGAGCAATGTGTTTCAGTTTCAGTTTGAACAACCATTAACCATGCACTATAGTGCGCCAGTTTTGGTTGCTGCCTTTTGGATGCCCATTTGGATGAATAATAGGAGAAGACAGGAAAGTTGAAGGTAGAGTCGAGCAGAAAATGGAGAAGTT